GAGGTCTTTAATATCTTTGGTCAGGTTTATCCAGAGATATTTTTTTTTGCAGCTATTGTGAAGGGGAGTGTTTCCTTGTGCTCTCACTGATTGCTTGTTATTGGTATATAGAAAGGCTGTAGACTTTTGTAGGTTAATTTTGTAACCTGCCACTTTACTGAACGTGTTAATAATTTCTAGTTTTCTGGTGTAATTTTTGGCGTCTCTTAGATGTAATATCATATCATCTGCAAAAAAGGGATAATTTGATCTCTTTTTTTTCCAATTATTACTCCTTTAATTTGCTGCTCTTGTCTTATTGCTCTTGCAAGAGTTTCAAGCACTGTGTTAAAGGGAACTGGAGATAGTGGACAGCCTTATCTGGTTCCTGATTTCAATGGGAATGCTTCCAGTTGTTCTCCATTTAGAATGTTGTTGGCTGTGGGTTTGTTACATATGGCTTTATGTTGAGGTATGTTTCCTCCAGTCCAATTCCCTCTAGGACTTTGAACATAAATACGTGTTGAATTTTGTCAAAGGCCTTCTCTGCATTTATTGAGATGACCATGTGGTTCTTGTCTTTGAGCCCATTTATATGATTTATCACATTTATTGATTTATGTATATTGAACCATCCCTGCATCTCTGGGATAAAGCCGACTTGGTAATGGTGGATGATCTTTTTGATGTGTGTCCGTATACGATTTGCAAGTATCTTGTTGAGAATTTTTGCATCTGTGCTCATTAAGGATATGGGTCTATAGTTTTCTTTTTTGGTTGTATCTTTGCCTGGGTTTGTTATTAGAGTGGTGCTGGCTTCATAAAAGGAATTTATTCAAAAATATAGAAACAGAGGGAGGCCTTTTAAATTTCATTATTTAGTAAGTCAAAATGCTATTTCTTAACACAGAGAAATAATTCTTAGAGCTTCTATGCATTGTCTTTTATTGTTTATAGTTTAATGTGTGTGTCTTCTGTATTGTAGACAAAACAAGTAAGTGCTTCTAAGCAAACAAAAAATTCCACCTGCATGTATTCTTCGTGGTTGAACAAAACTCCATTGTGTATATGCCATTTCTCTATTTATCTGTTGACAGACATGTAGGTTGATTCCATACTCTAAGGACCGCTTTCAGCGTGTCCCAGAGGTTTTGTTGTGTTGTATTGTCCTTTTCATTTAGTTCCAGGAATACTTTCATTTCTTTCTTAATTTCTCCTTTGACCCAGTCATCATTCAGGAGTGTGTTGTTTAATCTCCATGTGTTCATGTGGGACTAGGGCTTCTTTCGGTGGTGATTTTAAGCTTTATTTCATTGTGGTCTGATAAAATGCATGGAATTATTTCAATCTTTTAATATTTATTGAGGCTTGTTTTGTGCCCAGTGTCTGGTCTATTTTGGAGAATGTTCCATGGGGCACTAAATAGAAAGAATGTCCTTTGGTGCTTGGGTGGAATACTCTGTAGATGTCTGTTAGGTCCATTTGATATATGGTATTGTTTAATTCAGATGTCTCTCTGTTAACTCTCTGCCCTACTGACCTATCTAATGGAGACAGTGAGGTATTGAAGTCCCCTCCTATTAATGTGTTGGGATTAATCTGGGTCTTAAGTTCCTCTAGTATTGTTTTTATGAAGTTGGGTCAACCAGAGTTTGATTCATGATTGTAATATCTTCTTGGTTTATTGTTCCTTTGATCAGAATCAAGTGGCCCTCTTTATCTCTTCTGATTAGTTTTAAAGTCTATTTTGTCAGATATTAGAATTGCTATACCTGCTTTTTTCTTAGTACCATTTGCTTGGTATATTTTTTTCCATCCTTTCACTTTAAGATAGTGTCTGTCCTTGAAAGTGAGATGAGTTTCTTGTAGACAACAAAAAGATGGATTTTGTTTCTTAATCCATTCACCTAGTCTGTGTCTTTTGACTGGGGAGTTCAGTCCGTTAATATTTAAAGTTATTAATGAAAGATGAGTATTGAATCCTGTCATTTTTATTTCTGTTTACATTCTTGATATAGCTGTGCTTTTCCACAGTTATACCTTCATTGAATTTCTTTTTGCAACCCCTCGGGTCTAGTCATTCCTTTCTTCAACTCTTTGTATTTCTTCCAGAACTCTCTGAAGGGCTCGTTTGTGGACATGAATTCCTTCAGCCTATTGATGTCATGGAAGATTTTTCTTTCCCCTTCGACTGTAATAGACATTTTGGCTTGGTATAGTAATCTGAGTTGGCATCTGTGGTCATTTAAAATTGGGAATACTTTGGTCCAGGCTCTTCTGGCTTTCATTGATTGCACTGAAAAGTCAGCTGTAATCCTAATGGGTTTTCCTTTGTATGTGACTTGTTTCTCTTTTGCTGCTTTCAGTAATGTCTATTTGTTTTGTACATTTAGTATTTTTACTGTGATGTGCCATGGAGGGTTTCTTTTCTGGTCCTGTCTGTTTGGTGTTCTATACGCTTCTTGTATTTGTATGGGCATGTCTTTCTTTAATTTTGGGAAATTCTCTTCCACGAGTCTGTTGAAGATCTGGTCCATGCCATTATCTTGGGATTCTTCTCCTTCCTGTATTTCTGTGATTTGTAAGTTTGGTCTTTTTATGGTGTCACACAATTCCTGCATATTCCATTCTTGTGATTTCTTAAATTTCTCATAATCTTTGCTTGAGTGGTCCAGTTCATCCACTTTATCTTCCAATCTTGATACTCTGTTTTCCACTTCATTCATCCTATTGGTGAGGCTTTCCCCTGTCGTTTCTAAATGGCTTATGGAGTGTTTCACTTACTTCTTTATTTCAGCCTGAGTATTCTTCAATATTTCTAGCTCTTTTCTGAATTCATTCAGATATTTATCCCTATCTTCTTTTAGTTTCTTTTATCATGTTTATAATTGTTCTTTTGAGTTCCATGTCCTGCATTATCTCTAGGGTGTTCTCATTGTACTCCTCTAGAGGACTATTGGTATTTGGTGGGGATATGTTATTTTTTTTTCATGTTATTCATTTTTCTCTGTGATTTTGACCTGTGAATTTTTTTTGTAGTTTCTGATTCTTGTGTGAGACTCAAGCCTTCAAGTTTAGGTCTGCTTCTTTTTGTGAACTTTATGTGTCTTTGTGGTTTACTTTTTGGGCATGAAAAGCTGGTTCATCTAAGCTTCCAGTTCTCTCTCTTGATTTTATATTGGAGTGGCCAGATTGCTTTTGTCTTCAGGATTTCCCACAGAGGCCCAAGTCAGATGAGGATCAGATGCTCTCAGGCTTTCTCCTAAAGTCTGGATCCCTCCAGGAAAGATTTTGGCCTCAGGAATTTGGGGGTTGGACTGGCCTGGGAGCCAGGCCCAGGAAAGATGCTGCTCTAGGGCAGCTGGTGGCCATGCTACCCGAGATGCAAAGGAAGATCCGGGCGTGAAGCGGCCCCAAGGGCCCCTGGGGACTGCACTGAGGAGCTGGGTTGCTCTGGATACAAAGGATCAGGAAGAGGAAAGGTCAGCCCTGGCATCCAGGAAAGAGTCTGGAGGGTCGTGCAGGCCCAGGGAAGTAGAGGAAGGTGAGGGTGGGGCCAGGCCCAGAGTGCTCCTGAGGACCCCTGAAGGAACTGGATTGGTCTGAGTGCAAAGGATCAGGAAGAGTAAAGGTCAGCCCCAACATCCAAGAAAGAGGCTGGCGGGTCATGCAGGCCCAGGGAAGTAGAGGGAGGCGAGGGCCAACTTTTTTAACTTTATGGTGATATTATTGACACCATGGGATCACTGAGTATTATATTGTATTTAGGATAATTTCATTTTTGTTTTGCAGTCCTAGGCTGTCTAATCTTCCTGGCTGGTCTCTGAAAGACGGAAGTGTTTTCTTGGACAAGGTAATTTCAAGGAAGAAACCAAAGCCTGCTTCCACCCAGCGGGAAGCCATCTTATCCTGATGGAGTCATGCTGGTTCTCATGGCTCACTTGTGTTTAGGGATCTTTAACACTTGTAATTACTATCCTTAAGTCTTTAGAGTGTCTCTGTGTTTAGCCTCAGATCACATTTGTATCTATGTAAAAATCTTAAATACTTTAGCAGATAATTTGTCACCACAGAAAGAAAACTGTCATTTCTGCAGTTGTAATTAGGGTCTCAAAGTTCAGCTTAATAGATGTGTTGCCAAAGCTAGAAAAAAATATTAAAACTATAGCTACAGTTTGTATTAAAAACCAGCAAATCAGAGGTGTAAGATTAAAACCTTTGAAGCCTCTTCAGGTCTATTCTTGACTGTAACCATTTGTCCTCGCCTGGGTTTCACAATTGAAAACTGAATGAGTTTAAAGATCCTTAATGTGATTCATCTGAATAAGACATTTGCCTCTTGTCATAGATACTTTTGATGAGGTGTTGGGGGGTTTTCAGAATTAATTCCTGTAACTGCACCCTGACCTCAAGTGCAAGCCAAATGTATAATTTGAAACCAGATTTCCCTCATAGCGGACTATAAAATTACGTGACATTCAGCAGCGTGTGTACCTGATTTCAGTTCCAGTCTCCTGCTGGCTATAAATCATTATTCCCTGAGAAAGGCCCAGAAGCATCTGATTACCCATACATTGTGAGTGAAATGACTTGCATATATAGTAAGAGTATTTCATTAGAAGGGAGAGGTGAAGAAAGAACAGTGACATTGTGAGTGTTTGGAATGGCAAATGTGCTTCTGCAGCCACAGCTGAGTGCCTCAGAGGAGACTTTGTCACAGGACATGCCCTGATGCAAAGCATTTTGAGGAAGACTAGTCTCCCATTCAAGGTCAGGCAGAGGTTTGAAATTCCCGTGTTGTGACTCTCATCATTTTAACCTCATCTTGAAGGAGTTGGAAGTCTTCTCTAATTAAACATACTCACTCACTTACTTGCTTTTGGCTAGCAGGTACAATATGATTAAAAATTGTTTTTAGCCGGGTGTGGTGGCATATGCCTTTAATCCCAGCACTTGGGAGGCAGAGGCAGGCAGATCTCTGTGAGTTCAAGGCCAGCCTAGTCTACATAGTGAGTTACAGGACAGCTGGGGCTACAGGGAGACCCTGTCTCAAAAAGACCAAAAAAAAAAAAGAAAGAAAAAAGTTTTTGGCTCACCCTACCAGTAAACTGTACTCATATGGGGGCTAGAGAGATGGCTCAGTGGTTTAGAGCACTGACTCTTCTGGGGTTTTTTTGTCTTTTTGAGATAGGATCTCCCTGTAGCCCCAATTGGCCTGGAACTCACAGAGATCCTCCTGCCTCTGCCTCCCAAGTGCTGGGATCAAAGGCATGTGACACCACACCCAGTAGTACTGGCTGTTCTTACAGAGGCCCCAGGTGGCTAATGATAGCTAACAACGGTCTATAACTCCAGTTCCAGGGAATCCAACACCCTCTTCTGACCTTCATGGGTATTGCACAACACAGTACACTTACATATATGCAGGCAATACATTCATACACATAAAATAAAAATAATATATTTTTAAAAAAACAGTACTCGCTGGGCAAGGTGGTGCATGCCTTTAATCCCAGCACTTGGGAAGCAGAGGCAGGCGGGGCTTTTTGTGTTTAAAGCCAGCCCTGGCTACATAATGAGGTTCCGGGCAGCTGGGGGGAACAAGAGGCCCTGGCTCCAAAAAAAAAAAAAAAAAAAAAAAAAAACCAAAACAACACCAAAAAAAAAACAGTACTCATAACTACATGATGCTCATAGAAGAAGAGCCAGTTTATATAGCATGCAAGGGAAAGAAGTATTTTATAAGACTCCATAGAAGACTTGTACAATTCCAGAGGACAGTAATGCAGTTAGTGCCCTATTTTCAAACAAAAACTGATACTAAAATTCAGGTTCTAGCCGGGCGTGGTGGCGCACCCCTGTAGTCCCAGCACTTGGGAGGCAGAGGCATGTGGATCTCTTTAGTTCAAGTCCAACCTGGTCTACATAATGAGTTCCAGAACAGCTGGGGCTACAGGCTACAGGGAGACCCTGCTTCAAAAAAAAAAAAATCAGGTTTTGATAAATTTGTATATATATGAATATATAAAAATATATGTTCAATGACTTGTGGAAACACCATAGACCAGAACCATAACATTTATTTCCTTGACTAAAAAGAGCAAAGGACACTGTGGACCAAACCCCAGCTGCTTTAGTTGTAAAGTTGTAGGGAGCTGTAACCTTGATCCAGGAGCTCCACTTGTTTAAAAGTGCCACAGCAGGAAGAAAACAGCTCGTCACCTTCTGGAGGCGATCCAGCAGATCCTGTTGGTGGCCCACCCATGTCTCCAGCCTTGCCCTTTCAGTGTGCGCTGGCATAGCTCCCCCTGCCCTTATCTGTGTGACTTTGAGGGTTTTCCTAAATCTGTACACTCTGCCAGAACTGGGAAGTTGGTCTCTAGACTTCTTGCTCCTCAGTAGGAAAATTTTGCTGTGATGTTTTATACCTTCTCTCAGTTTCACCATGGAAATAGTTGAGCTTTTCAGCGTGGACTAAGCCTCAGTAGCCTGTCCATGACCAGACCTTCCCTCTGTTTATTGCTAATCTATGTGAGAAGTACCAGTTAGCAAAAGAGCACCTCCCATCCACACTGCTGTTCTCCGACTCTTCTCTCAGGGTCAGCCTTTGGGAGAATCCAGACTAAGGCAGGCATATACATGGGGTCTTAGGGGCAGTGTGGGCTTATGCTGCTTTCCATTTCTTTAGGCTCATGCCTTTTTCTTTTGAATAAATGCATTCGGTCCATAATCTCCAATAAGTACCAGTTTTGTGGAGCAAACATTGCTTTCACCATGGTGATGGCACTATTTAATCCCTGCTCCTTCTCCTGTCTTTCCTTCCTTGCTAAGCCCCTTTCCCTCAGTCCCCATATGTGGAGGAAAAGGCTCCTGAGTCATTTGTCTAGGATCAGACACCTAGCCTAAAAACAGCAGAATCACTGAGCCCTTGTCATAAACAGGATCACAGCCACCTTTTGGTATCTGGTCACTTATATCCCTGATAGGGCCCAGGGAGCTTTGACTTCATCTGTGTCTCCAGATACCTTTATGACTTGTTCTTGGAAAACAGTGGTCACGGAACAGCATGTGTTTCTAACTTTGTGTAGAGGTGTGGAAGCATATGTATTCAAATCCTCAGTCTGCCACCAAGCAACATTTTTAATAAGGCTTTTGGCCAAACTGAGCCTAAATAGGGAACCGTTGGCCTAAAATAACCTCTCCCCCACCCCAAAGTTAGATATAGAGATTGAATTTCTTAGTATTGTATCTCTTAGTGAAATATCTCTTGCTAATATTGTTCTTTTCCATGTCCTCTAGGAGTTAAAAGAATGCTCGGGTCATGTATTTGTGGATTCTGTGCCTGAATTCTGCTTACCAGAGGTAAGACAGCAGTGTGTCTTCTTATAGAAACAAAGCATACTGGTAATCAATCACTAAGAAGTCAAGGAATAGCTTTAAGGGGCTTACCTTCCAGTTTTGAGATCGGAGCAAATCTGCTATCCCAGTGTAGTGCTGTACAGGTTAAACACCATCAGGAGCTCTTTGTTTAGTTGTGATCACTTAGGGCTCTTCTCCTGCTCTGCCTCTTCCTGTAGTCCTCACAGACCTTTCAGGTACAGCTTTGAACAAGGTGTAGAAATGACTCGAGCCTTTTAGCTTTGTGATTCCGATGTCTCTTGTGCAGTTGAGCCTCATGCTTCCTCGTCGCACAGCGGTCGAAGATTGCTGTTCGTCAGCCAGTGCTGCAGGCGTGGTTGCCACCTTGAAGTATGTTGAATTTTGCTTGAAATTTTTGGATTCCAATCTGAGTCACAGGTATTGTCATCACAGTGAGACTCGCCAGCATCTGGGGCCAGTTCATCTTTTCCAAGGAAACAGATCTGTTTCCATTAGTTTTAATGGCAGCTGACAGGATTAATCCCAGCCCAACTTTGACAGGGCTCTCAACAGACAGAGGAAGTATAGGGATGCTTGTGACTTCACCAGGGTCTTGAGATCAGTGAGAAGCTGCTGTTCTCTTCGCCTATACCGCAGGGACACAGTTTAAAGAGAAAAAGAAAAAAAAGTTCAGGACCAAAGAGGAAAAACAATTTGGTATCCAGCTTCCTTTATGCTTGTGCTTTCTTCAGCCCACTCTCCATTTCTACATTTTGTTTGATGCCCTGAAGATAACCTTTTTTCTCTCCTTGAAGTATGTATTTGTGGCCCTGTGAGGATCCCAGACAGAAAGGAAAGCAGAAGGCGTGGTTGTCGAGGGTGGCTGACAAGAGACGACTCAGAAGTAGTGGTTAGGAACCAAGGTGAACCCTGAACCCTTGCTTCCTGATGTGAAAGGCTGTTTGTCACTTAGGAGTTGATGGCAGTCTCCATCTGTTGGGTGATTCCAGATCCCAGATTTTGCCTTAATTTTCAGGCACCACAGATGGCAGTGATTGTGCAACCTTCATTTGATGGGCAACACTGTGGCACGTGTACAGTAGTGCCCTGAGGGCTGACTTGCTCCGCAGGGTACTCAACTTTCCAATGAGACAATTACATTCCACTTTTCGCTGTGCTGTTGATACATGTAGGGTTCCAAAGCCATAGACAGATTTTCAAGCAAGATTGTATGGCACAGATGGTTATAGTCACAGTTTTAAAGTAGGACCATGGCCATTGTAGGACTGAGAGAAAAGGAAAGGCACTAACTGTATAGTCCAGGGAGCCTGACAGAGGCACAATTCTTGTAAAGTTTATAATCTGGGGAAGCGACTTTAACTGTCTTTTTAATCCCTCGAAGTCTCACTGTAGGCACAGTAAACAACCAATGAAGTATGACTGTCCCTGTTCACAGTGTATAGAACTCCACTGTTTATACACAACAGTTTTAAAGTTCAAACATTTTTTATTCCACTGAGTGAAAGTATGTAAGTAAATAATAAATATCACTATATAGATGTGGTTTTGATGTTAAATATATTTCTTGGGAGGAGATTTTATGTAATCAAACATTTTTGATACATATGTTGAGAAGAAATTTTTTCTTCTAACCATCCTCATCAATTTCTTGTAATTCTAGGCTCTCTGGGCTGATTTTTACATGTAAAGAGAATGATCAGGCCGGGTGTGGTGGCACACGCCTTTAATCCCAGCACTTGGGAGGCAGAGGCAGGCGGATCTCTGTGAGTTCAAGGCCAGCCTGGTCTACATAGTGAGTTCCAGGACAGCTGGGACTACAAGGAGACCCTGTCTCAAAAAAAGACCCAAAAAAGAGAATGCTCAGGTTCCCTCGCCGTGTCTATGTAAAGAATGGTGACGGGGCTTCTGAGTCTTGTTGCTTCAGCTGTTGTTCCTGTATTCCTGTAGTTTTCTTCTGATTGGGCCCTCTGCTGCTCTCTGAATGTCCTTATTTAAAAGGTTCCAGAGAGGCAGCAGAGTGGCACCCCCTCACCGTGAGGACGTTGCCTTGCAAGTGCCAGGGCCAAGTGTGGCCTTTGGGCTGATGTGTGTTGACTGTTATTATCGGTAGGCTTGTTGTTCCCATAGATGTGAGGGTTCTCATTCCTTCCACTCACATGCTGGTGATGCCTCCACAGCTTTATTAAATTAACTTATATATAAAGTCATTGTGCCAGAAAATGCCCACAGTCCAAATGGCACACTGCTTCTGTGGTTTGCTTGTGTTATAGATTCTTTGTTACTCCTCTGGGTGGGACACACTAGCACTACAGCCCATTCTCCTACCTGACCCACTGGCTGTGCTCATCCTCAGTGCACTGCACTGTTCCTGGGATTAACTTCTACCTGGGGAGAGTCAAGAGCACTGTGGTGATGTCCACAGACCGCACGTGAGTCCCTTCTACCTGGGTGTACCTAGGTGTACTGAGGCTTGGTAGGTCCTGCCCCCCACAGGTGACAGGGAGAGAAGGAGTCATAGCACAAGGACTGCTCTGAGGTGCCATTGCAGGGTGAGGTCCTAAAGAAGATGCTTCCATCCCCCCTGCCCCCGACATACACAGTGGTCAAAAATTGCTTTGAAAAACTAAAAATTAAGAAAGAATTTTCACTGCCTTCACCTTTGACCTTTGAAGAGCTGGTTGCTGCACACTGCTCCCCTCTTCCCATTAGGATGTCACAGAGGCCTACGCACCCTTAAAGCTTCTGTCGGGCTGACTGCGCAGTCACCTAGCTTCCCCGTCAGGCCGCAGCTGCTGTCACATCCTGCGATATTTGCCTTCCTGTGTTTAACTCAGAACACTTCTTGTCAAAATCAGAGTGCTGCTGGTGGGCTGCTGCGTTCTCATCGGTAGCCATCCTGCCCTGCTGCCCACTGTTGGTATTAGAAAATATCCTGCAGAGGGAGGATGGAGGTGGTGCAGGCCTCATTATCCTGAAGTACAAAAACTCCTCCTCTGCATTCTGACAGCATCATTTTTCAGTCACTTCACATTGATCTATGTGCCCTGCACAGACACATATCACCCCTCCCTTTCTTTTCAGACCGAGCTAATAGACCTGTCTACAGTCGATGTGATTCTCATCTCTAACTATCACTGCATGATGGCGCTGCCCTACATCACTGAGCACACGGGATTCACAGGCACCGTCTATGCCACAGAGCCCACTGTGCAGATTGGCAGGTGAGAGTGTGAGTCTTGGCCCCTTGGGGTGTGGCTGCAGAGCTCCTCCAGTGGTGACTGCAGGAAGGAGTAGGCTGCGCCCCAGATTCAGGAGTGTTCACTGAAAATGCCCAGAGACCGATGCTCCTGGAGCCCTACAGGAGTGCTCGTAGACAGCTCCTCTGCAGACGGTGCTAACTAGAAAGACACCCTAGGAAGAGGCCACAGGGACACAAGGCAGGGAGCTGCAGAGCAAAGGAGCTCTGCTTCTGTAAAAGAAGAAATATCATTACTTTGCTTTCAAAATATCCTTTTGTGGTTTACTGCAGACTCTAAGCAGAGACAGCTTGTAGAGAGCAGGGAGCATACGAGGAATGAAGCAGTTGTGTTGTCCTGGTGACAATGAAATACAGCACTCCAAGGCTTAGCCTGCACAGTGCAGGGGCTGGAGAGGTGGCTCAGCAGTTCAAGTGCTTGCTGCACTTGCAAGGTCCACAGTTCATTCGCAGCACCTATATCAGGAAGCCCACAACCACCCACACCTCCAGTTCCAGGGGATCCTACTCCCTCTTCTGGCTCTGTGGATACTGCACACACATGAGATACATATGGACATACAGGCATGCACAGACACACACACACATTAAGTAAATTAATAAATATTTAAAAAGATAATTACTCAGTCTTTCTTACCAAGAAGGCTCTGCTCCCTTCTCTGCCCCAACCAGGCCTTCATAGTATGTGGTTGCTGCAAGTAGCCATAGCAGTATTATTTGGAAAAAAATTGTATGGAGAAAATTAGTCCTAAAAGCAAAACCTCATAATTTATTGCTTTGAAATAACCAGTATAAGTTAAAACTTTCAGGACCCTAAGTACAGGATTTGGGATTGCTATAAACTGTTAGGTTGCATTCTAGTGCCTTACAGATAACCAAGATGACATAATCTCCAACGTGAACCTTCCTTACCTGCAGTGTATACAAAACAGCCACAGGGATTCAAGGGACTCTAAAGGGCCAATATAGAAAGTAAGACATTCAGTTTCAGTGGGAGGAAAAGCTAAAAATACTGGGTTCCGATCTGAAAAAGATGAAGCTTAACCGTGGGTTCACTAAACTGTCCCAATGGATGGGCAGCAAGGTGACTCAGCAGTTAGGAGTACTTGCTCTCTTCCAGGGAATCCAGGTTCAATTCCCTGCACCCACACCAAGCAGTTCACAACTGCCTATAGCTTGGGTTCCAGAGGATCTGACACCCTCTTCTGGACACCCGGGGCATCTGTAAGATCAGCCAGTGCTAGCCGGGTGTGGTGTCACATGCCTTTGATCTCAGCACTCAGGAGGCAGAGGCAGGTGGATCTCTGTGAGTTCAAGTCCAGCCTGGTCTACATAGTGAGTTCCAGGCCTGCTGGGGCTACTGGGAGACCCTGTCTCAAAAAGACAGAAAAAAAAATGTATTTCTAGGTGGTTGGTTGGTTGGTTGTCTCACTGTGTAGCCCAGGTTGACCTAGAGCTCAGCCTCCCAAGTGCTGAGATTATAGACAGGAGCCACCGTGCCCAGCTCTGTTTCTAGCTTTCTGATCACCCTCTAGCTTTCAAGAATTCTAGCCGTTCTCTGGATTCCCCCTGTCTGTGTGCCCTTGAGCCCACCGGGGGCTGTGCTTCTTAGCTTCCCTTGCCTCCTGGGTCCATCTCATGACCTCAGAGTGCTTCAGTTAGTTTAGAGCTGATTCTTATGTCTCCTACATGCAGTTTTTCTCCTTCCTGAAACACGTGTCAATTTCTTATATCAATTTAAAATTCCCATTTCATAACATGGGGTGGGGAGGGTAGGCAAAATCCCTTTCTTCTGTCTACAGTGTTAATATCAAGTTCTCATTTTTTCATACTCATTTACACTCAGGCTTCTCATGGAAGAACTGGTGAATTTCATCGAAAGAGTGCCAAAAGCTCAGTCTGCCTCCCTGTGGAAGAATAAGGATGTACAGCGGTAGGAACCCCGTCCTCTGACCATGAAGCTTTTCCAGTCTCCTTTGATTTCTCATTTTATGCTTCACTGATGTTAGAATGAAAATTCACTCTTCTATGGGAGGGCTACATTTAATTCAGCAGTAAGCTCCTGTATTGGGGGAGGGTGGAAAATGTCTGTCTCTACCTTTGAGGTACTTAGATGACTCAACAGATAAGTTGCAGTCTTGAAAGGACTTTCTTAGGAGATTTTAGCCATCAGTGCTCTTGACACTCAGAAAATAAAGAATGTGGGACTGGCGAGGTGACTCAGTGAAGGCACTTGCTACCATGCCTGATGGCCTGAGTTTGATCCCTGAGACCCACATGGTAGAAGGAGAGAAGCAACTCTCAGGTTCTCCTCTGACCTCCACACATGTATTGTGGCACATATGTGCCCATGCACATACATACATATACACACAGAGAGACAATATAATGTAATTTTTAAAAACAGGAAGAAGCCAGGCATGGTGGCTAAAGCCTTTAATCCCAGCACTTGGGAGGCAAAGGCAGGCGGGTCTCTGTGAGTTCAAGGCCAGCCTGGTCTACATAGCAAGTTCTAGGCCAGCTGGGGCTACAGGGAGACCCTGTCTCAAAAAGACCAAAAATAAATAAATAAATAAAGAGCTTTTGCTACTTAAGGAAGCTGGGAAGGACATCCATTAGGGGATGACAGTTAGGTGGAAGAAAAGACTTTCTCGTGTAAAAAAGATTGGGGGCCTAGGGAGATGGCTCAGCAGGTAAAGCATTTGTTCTCTGTGTGTGAGGACCAGAGTTCAGGTCTCCAGGACCCACTAAAGCATGGCAGGTGGCTCTCTAACCCCAGCACACAGGAGGCAGAGACCGATTCCCTAAGACAAACTGGCCAGCTAGATGAGCCTGAATCGGCAAGCCCTGGGGTCAGCAGAGAGACACACTCTCCACCCCACCCCCAGCAAGGAAAGTGGACAGCAGCCGGCCAGAGACCTGGTATCAGCTCCAGGCCTCCACATGTGCACATCCACACATTTGTGTGCCCACACACATGCAGACCTATACATGTATACACACCACACCCAAGCACATACACAAACACATTGTATCAAGGAGCTCAGGCTTGGTGTCATGAGACAGTGAGAAATTCAGTGTTGGTGAGCGTAGGTAGAGAGGGGAGAGATGAAGTGGGGAGGTGCACATTGGAGTGAGCTAATGGAGTCTTTCGTGTAACGCTTGAGGTTTGCACCACTGAGCATGTGCAAGTCAAAGAAGCTCCTCAGTTAGGATTGAAAAGAGTCATTAAGTATAAAAGAGGCTGCAGAAATGTAGCCAGACAAGCAAGGAGCGGAGCGGGCAAAGGAAGATTCGAAACACCATAGAGGGAGCAAGTAGGCACCTTGACTCTGCGACACGCATTCTCACCTGATCTGGCAGTAGGGAACACCCTTTGGTCAGGCTTAGCCTACTAGACTTTCTCTGTTCCCAGCAACTGCTGCCTTTACACACACACACGCACACACACACACACACACACACACACACACACTCACTCACTCACTCACTCACTCACTCACTCACTCACTCACACCTGTTACTACCATCTGATCTTAGCGTGGAGAGCCTGCAGTTACAACTAGTTTCTTGGTTTCCTGAGACATTCCATGCTCCTAGACCCAACCCACTTTCTTCTGTCTTGCACTGGCTTCTCTTTCCCTCTAGTCAGTGATGGCAGCTGCCTGCTGGCTTCAGCTTGCTCCTGTCTTACATTTGCCAGTCTTCTTCCTACAGGAACAGGAATGCGTTGCTAGAAGATGCCACCTTTCTGTTGTGACTTTTTCAGAATTTCAGCATGCATCTCTCTCTCTCTCTCTCTCTCTCTGTATGTGTCTGTGTTAATTTAATTCATATAATGTTTTTTCTGTCACAGATGCTATTCTAAATCTGTTATTACATAATAAATTAACAATTCCATGAGGTCAGTAGTAGCATTATCAGTTTACAGGAAAGAAGCAGAGAGGGTTAATTACTTCCCCAGGGTCATCCAGCTAGTGAGTGATAGACTCTGACTTCAAATATTGACACCTGGCTGACTGCAGAGTCCATGCCTCCAGCCCTTTGCTGAGCCACCCTTTGAGGGCATGTCCCTAGGGCCCTCTCATGTGGTTGACAGGAAGTGTGTTTTACACCCTTTCTCTATCTTCATGCTCTTTTGGATGTCTCCTTGCTTTGTAGTATGCAAGTGGCCTCATCCTAGGAAACACTGCCTTGACTTTGCTGAGCAATCTTATGTCTGTTTGAATGGCCGCACCCCCAGGGTGGCACATGGTCCTCTCCCATCCCCAGGGAGGCAAATGGTCCTTTCCATCCCCCAGGGTGGCACATAGTCCTCTCTCTTCCCCCAGGGTGGCACATGGTCCTCTACCATCCCCAGGGAGGCACATGGTCCTCTTCCATCCCCAGGGTGGCACTTGGTCCCCTCCCTCCCCCAGGGTGGCACATGATCCTCTCCCATCCCCAGGGAGGTACATGGTCCTTTCCATCCCCCAGGGTGGCACAAGGACCTCTCCCATCCCCAGGGTGGCACATGGTCCTCTCCCTCCCCCTGGGTAGCACATGGTCCTTCCTGCCCCCAGGGTGGCACATGGTCCTTCCTGCCCCTAGGGTGGCACATGGTCCCCTCCCTCCCCCAGGGTGGCACATGGTCCCCTCCCTCCCCCAGGTGGCACATGGTCCTTTCCGTCCCCCAGGGTGGCACTTGTTCCCTTCCCTCCTTCTGTGGCATTCACAGTATCAGCTCCTTTCTCTCAGCTCTCACTGTGCCACCCTCTTCCCTGAGCACATTGTATCACATGTGACCTCAGGTTCCAACACCTCCCTGCTTAAAAATTTTAGGACTTTGTTTTCTTTCCCCATAGAGCATATATATGCTTTGACCTCCCTTACTTCCTCCTTTTAAATGTATAGCCTTTATTACAGTATTCTGCCTCAAATAGTTTTGGCACATCAGAAATAGTATTCGAAGGTCTGTGTTTCCTGACTTCCCAAACCCTGGGCCAAGTCTTGCTACGGATGTCCGTGTTGTTATTTGTCTGTTCTATGACTTTGGTCAAAGTCCTTGGAAGTTTGCCCTTGCCTCTCATTCTTTGTAAAATACAACAAAACAGCTGGCTCCTAGAGAAATGTCATTGTCTGTTAGGGAGAATGTGAATGGAGCTTCAGAGGAGAGGGCAGGGCAGGGGCCTGAGGGCTGTTTCTTAAGATGCTTAGGAATTCCCCCTTTTAAAAGAGGTAGTTAAAACCATGAATTTCTCATCTCACCATCTGGTAGGCAAAAAATAGAAATGGAAAGCTACCTTGAGAGGAGCAGGGAGAAGGAGCCGCACTATTGGAGAAGCCATCTTCATTCTGACCCTGCTCATGAAGGACCTTAGCTATTGATGGAAAAGGGAGGGTATAATTATTCCAAGAACGTGCTGAAGTGTGAAATAGACCAAAACAAACAAAGCAAAAACCTTTTGTTCTCTCTCTGTCCTGGGTAAAGTCAGCATTAATATTAGACCTGGTACATGAATTTGAAGAGCTCTTGTGGACTCAGGCAGTGATGGCTCACTAAGGAAAGTACCCTGTGCAGGATGAGGATGTGAATTGGAATCCGGAGCAGCCACATAAAAGGCAAACACAGCATGTGCAGCTATAAACCTGGTGCTGGGGTGGGGGTTGGGGGGGTAACAGCACACTGGCAGATCCCAGGTACTTGCTGACCAGCCAGTCCAGCCTAAACCACAAGCTCCAGGTTCACAGAGACCTTGTCTGAACAAATAAGGTGGAGAATAGAGAAACCTGTGTCAAGTGTGGCCCCCACACCCCCATACATAGGGGAATAGTCACCCACAAAAAAAAAAGATGGAAATCAATTTTAATGCTGTGCCTCTGGAAAAACACATTTTAAAAAAGAATTAGAAGAGTTCCTCATTCTTTAATTGGCATCAGACAAAAGAACCCTTTTGAAGTGTTTGCCTACAGTTTAGCTTTGGGCCAGATGCTGGAAGTGCTTCAATTGAGCAGCGTCTGCTCCCCTCCCTCTAGGTCTCCCCATCACAGGCTGTGATACCTAGTGTCCTGAAGTACTGCAGCGCACTGCATCAAAAACAGTTTTTTGTGACTTCGGTCATTGAATGTTTTCCTAGGTGATGCAGGTCATGGCTTCGGGTTCATGTGCCTGCAGGCAGAGGTGCGAGCTAGAGGGGTCTGGCCCGGCTAGAGGGGTCTGCAATAGGCAGAAGCGCAGCTGGAGTGTACCTTGGCTATTTGGGATGGAAGACCACAGCTGTCAAATCCTTCCTTTTTTTTTAAGAAGCTCAAATGGGGCTGGAGAGATGGCTCAGCGGTTAAGAACACTGATTGTTCTTGTAGAAGACCCGGGTTCGAATCCCACAGCACCCACATGGCAACTAACAGCTGTTCCATATCTCCGGTCCCAGAGGATCCAACAGCCTTTTCTGACCTCCGCAGACATTGCACAACACGGTGCACTTACCTACATGCAGGCAATACACGCATACACGTAAAATAATAAATTTTTTAAAGTTTAAAAAAAAAAAGAAGCTCAAATGTGATTTTTCAAAAAGTGTTGCTTATACATTAAAATAAAATCCTGTGTAATCCAAACAAATCTTTGGAAGCAGGATTTGAGCTCCCAGTTTTACTTCACACCTACACAGAGATTCTCAAAATAGATCTTGGTCAAGTGCCTAGAATTAATGCATCTAAGTAGCTTGTGTTACTAATAAGACCATCAAGTAAAGAAAACAGTAAATTAAAAGTTTTCAAGCTCGGGGGGCTGGAGAGATAGCGCAGTGGGTAAGAACACTGATTGTTCTTGCAGAAGATCTGGGTTCAAATCCCAGCACCCACATGGCAGCTAACAACTGTCCATAACTCCAGTTCTAGGGGATCTGACAGTTTCTCTGTCTTCTGCCAGAATTGCATGACACGGGTGCACTT